GAAGCTAGATCGATATGCATCCTCTCTTCGGCACTGCCGCTGGCGTACGCTGGAAGCGCTACGCTACGCTGCCGCAAAGTATAAACGCAGCCTTAGGGAATTTAAGCAGCGTCGAGACAGCACCCTGCGAAGTGGGCTTCTACTGATTGCTCTCTTCCAAAGAAGGTATCCAAGGAGAGCAGAACGACCCGAGAGCAGGAGCGCGGCCTGCAAAAGTTGACATGCTTGTAAATAATCCCTGCGACTAGCACGTAAAATCGTCCTACGGTGCTGCGAGTTTGCAAATTAAGGGTTTGCAGTTTGATACTCCTTATCGCATTTGTCTCGCAATATCAAGAGATGAAAGTGGTACAACATGCGCAACTGCGGAGCTGGCTAGGGAATGTGCGAAGGCATTTCGCTCACCGATCAATTGCGGGACATTTCTTTGTTACGATGTATTTCAGGGGTCAATATGGAAGTCGATTTGGGCTGAGTTACTGGTCTGGTTGGTACTCTACGCTCTGCTCAGTACCATCTACAGGGTATTTCTAACAAAACCCCATAGAGAGTACGTTTGTTCACGAGCATTTCGTTTCTGTGACATTTATTCCTCTGAACCTGGGGGGAACCATAATGTGGCAGCTTGTACCAGGGAAGTCCGCCAATTACCATGAAACTTTGGAGACCTGGGTAGATCGATAGAGTCTATAAGGTTATTTACAAATATAGATAGCAAAACTGCAACCTGCATTTCACAAGCAACTTATGAGCAGGTAAAGTTTGTAATGGTGCAGTAGGGTGGAGGCTTGGTGGTGAGCTGTGAAGCATAAGGTAGCTTCAGACTTGTAGCGCTACAACTGTAGCGCTACAATTGTCGCGCTACAACTGTACCAGACCCCAGCTTCCCTTTATGTTCTTTCTTCCGGTATTCAATCCCTTTTTCACTGTTTCTCATTTCTACCTGATTCTTAGCTCCTTTTTCACTTTAACATTGAATTTTAATGTAGTTTTTGATACAGGACACTGTGATGATTTTGTATACCGTTTTCGACTTTAATTATTCAGTCTCAGGGTTGCTATTGATGTTTGATGTCTTGCAGTGGTGCATCATGTTGATCCCGATTACGAAATTGTTTTCGTTCTGTTCAATGTTCTGTTCTGTTAAATTTTGTTCTGTTTAAATTCAATGTTAAAGTGAAAAAGAGGAGCTAAGAATCAGGTAGACACGTAGAAATGGACGAAACTGTCGAAAGAAGGACGTCGAGACCGCGAAAAATACATAAACGGGAAATGGCGGTCACTGTACAGTCTGTAGCGCGACAGTCTAACGCTGGAATCGCACACGATCCGAAGTCGAGTCGTATTAGAACGACGAGCTTACATGGACCACACACTCGCATTCGACGGTATCGCTCGCTTATGTCCTCACAGCTCACCACCAAGCCTCCACTCCTACCTGCACCATTACAAACTTTACTGCCTCCACAGTCCTGCTTGTGACTGCATGGCATCATGTACCATTTATGTTTCTAATCAACCTTATACACCTCTGTCGATTAGCCAGCGGACTCCATTCCAAAGTTCCATGGTAATTTGGCAACTTCCCTGTAATGGAGCTGGAATTAGGGTGGGGGGTCTCTGCACTTCGAAACTAAGAACTTTAAACGTACAAACCTGCACAAAATTAACGAAGGAGTCCTGGATCCTATGACTTGATTTCAGGCGTCTTTGAGATTCTCTGTGTATTTTTTGATACCTTATTCCTCATTTATTCCTATAACATTTATGCTAGGTTTCTATGTATCGGCAGTTTTCACCCGATGGTGGCAAATTTTCGATAACATCGGTTGGATAGACACGTACGTTCTATACTTCTGGCCTTCTTGGATTTCGCTTTTTGTTTTTTCCCTTTTAAAATTGGAAACTTTTTAAAATTTGCATTTTGGCATTTATTTGTGACGCCTATTCTATTAAGGGTCCAATCAAAATTTGTAAAGTGTTACTCATAGCTCCTTGAAAGTCAAGGAAGAAAAGTGAACTTTTTTATTCGAGGCCCCGCCCCCCCCCTTTATTGGTTGACCAGGCGTATGAGCTCGCGGAAGAGACAAATAACACAAATGTTGTAATTACCTTTGAAATTTACAATCCCTTCAGCCCTGCCCTATGGATTGCACAGTACGTTCTCGGCAAAACTGAAAGAGCTCGTTTGTTACGTCGTACACTGGTTCGGTACCTCGTGCTAACACAAGCTATAGTGTTTCGTGATGTCTCAGCTGGTGTACGGAAACGATTCCCTACAATGAACCATCTTGTCACATCTGGTGAGTTGAGGATAAGCTTCACAGACTACTGTTCTGATTCACTACGGAGCGGCTGCATCGGCAGACTAAAGTCTCAACTTGCATGCTACGGTTCCCTCGTCTATCACTCGCGATCAAATTCTGCTTGCGTCTTCTGTTCCGAGTCAGATCGAGGCAGCCTAACAGGCCAACTGAGAGTACAAGAAGAGTTGCGTCATTTTTTCAAAAATTGGCCTGACATCGTAGAAGCCCCACCCTCTTTTGGAAAAGGGCGGGCTATCCGTAGATATGGCGGAGTTTGTATTGATGTCCAGCCGCATCAGTTAATTGATGTCTCGCTGTCTATCTGACTAATTAACTGCCCGCGGTTTAAAAAAGGATAAGTAATTCGGGTTTAGAATGGTGGTGGAGTGTTGCCATTTAGCTGTGAAAAGTGATGATTGTGAAAGTGAAAAGTGGTATATATCATAAGGGGTCGGTTTACCGGTTGCACTAGAAGGCGAACCCAATCTGCGGATTTTTGCCACTGGTTGCTTTCTTCCTAATCGATCACTACCGATCTCGCTATAGATGCAACCGAAGGCACTCGTCCATCCCTCCTGAAACCGCCATGAGCCTGATTGTGACATATCAAGCATACACTAATTTTAGATCTTCAGGTTTAATGACGGAAAAAGAGTTGGAGGATTTCAACTCGATTGTGACAACATATCCGAAGTACTGGGTGGTAATGAACTGGGTGTTCAGATTGATCCGACTTGCTCGGGAGGAGAAGAACATACCCGGTGAAATGGTTTACGTTGACCTAATGGAGGTACTGATGTTTCTAGCATTCGTTTCTTTATTACTCTATCCCAGTTTCGGAGCATATTTTTCTTTTGTGACTGCCAATTGCTCAATTATTATGCACTGTGATTTCAGAAAATTCGTCAGTACCGAGTTCAAGTTCTCAGTTTGACGCTTTACGACTGGGTACCAGTACCTCTTGTGTATACTCAAGTGAGTTTGCAATGTGATATGGGATAGTGGGACATGATAGTGGGACCACTTCAAACGGGGTGCAGCATAATACTCCGGCAAATCTGCCTTTTTGATGGGTGATCACAACTGTATGATTGCGACAGTCAACTTTTCAAAAGTCTGCTTAAAGGGCTACTTTCAAGGTAGTGTTGGTGCTGTTTCTATAAATGTGAAACATGTCCATGAATAGTACAAGAGCTCTTACACCTTCTCATAATCTGGTTGGCGAGAAAGCTGCATAGAAATCGAGCACAGAATGATGAGAGAACGAAGCAGTATCTTCTTGGCTAGACGTGATAGCATTGCCTTGTGGCACTTTAGACATCGGGGGTGGTGATCCACTGGTGATTGGGACTTTCTTGGAGGGACTAAGCGAGCTATTGTTAACGGAGCGTAGCTTCTTAATGTCGGTGAATCGCCAAAGCACCATTCGTGAGGTTGTTGGAATTATCCGACATCTGCTTCTGTTGCGTGGACAACACTTACGAGAGCAGGGCTAGATAAGAATCGCATCAGTTGACTCCGCTCAGTGGTAGGATGGCGTGGGAGGCTCGCCGGGCGGACGGTCTTATTTCGGACATCATTCCCCTATGTGCGTTGGTCGCTGCTTCTTTCGGTCACGCAGCAGCTTGGACAGGAGGCGCCGGGCTCTTCGGTGTTTCGCTTGCGCATCTGATTTTATCTACCGATACTCTTTGAAACTGAACCGCATTTGCCTAGTTTTCTGGTTCTCCAAGGATAGAGACTGTGAATACAACATGAATGTACAAATGTCAAAAGAATTTGAAATTTGTGCATAAGGTCGACATGGAATCAAGCTGTTGAATCTACTTTTCATTTAACTTACTTATTAAGGTTGTTCATTTGGCTGTGCGATGTTACTTCATGGTAGCGCTGTTTGGAAGGCAGTATCTCCTTCCAGATCCGGTCAGAGAAAGAAACATCGACTCAGCTAAAACGGTGCTTACACTTCTACTTTTGTTTGGAGAAGGAGCGAGTGAGATGCGTTATAGAGCTGTTATAGAGTGCCGTATGTTCGTGAAAAGAGTTTCGAGACCGCAGATATTATCGCTGAACATGCGCAGAAAGTGCAAGGCATTCTGACGATGTCATTGAAAGCGTATGAAGTTATACTATAGCGTGATTTTCAGACCACAGCATGATGAAGAGGTACGAAGCGCTTTGTCGTAGAAAAGTAATATAAACTAACCAGTGAGGCATCACACAAAAACGCTAAAGCCTGCTGCTCACACCAAGGAAAAGTATTCCCACAATAGTTGCAAAAAGGGCAACACTATCGCTCGAACTACGCAGCTTGAAGTGGCAAGGAACCATTCGTTAGTGGGTCTAGGAACATTCATCCTCTATGCTTCGGATTTGCTAGGCCCTGAGTCGTCCTCTGTCGGCCCCCAAAACACCTACGCGCTCTTACCTAGGATTGTGTCTTAGTGAAAAGTCCCCACGCACATTCTACTACCAAAAACGTCGACCATAACATCAAGCGCATGCCAAGTAGAGAGGATCATGCGTACCCGGTATCTTTAGCCGTTTTAAATTAGATACAAGTGACGTTAAATCAACTTATAGGCACTTTCTGGGGTCAATGACTATGACCTCCCAAATGCGCCAGGCTATACGGAAGGCAATTGTGGTGGCTGCGCTACCTTTAAAAAGTGGAAATCGCAAGAACCTCCGCTGAAAGCTCAGCCAGTTTAGCGCCATTTGGCGACCAAATACTTGCTGCTAGCTACTAGCTGGTAGCTACCATGCTATCTCTCTCCATGCCGAATGGTGAGAGTGAGGTGATATGATAAAAGAGCTGATATCGTTATGATAACGACGAGTGGGTAATCGTACAAACACGCATTATCTTCATTGCATGCACGTACAAGTTGAGGTCGATATGGAGTCCTATTTAGGGCATTTCTCACTGTACTTTCTGCTGCTCTTGCCTCCCACAATCTATCCGCAGCCTCATCGTGGCGTGGGGTGAACGGTTTTGGACTGTTCCAAAAACGTACCAATGCGGAGGGTGCCACGTCAGAGCCTGGCGAGCTACGCGTGGTTAATTTTCTTCTCGCCGAAAACAGTAACAACTCCCGGGCCCAATCTGCTCCTGAATAGCTAGGAACCACCGACAGGAGCGAACGTCGGGCTGGACGCTCAGCTAGGCTCTAAAATCACAGGGCCAACGCGGGTTTTAAGCGCCCAAGACAGGATAGGATTGACGATCTGTACTTTCAATGCACGGACGCTTGCATCGGAAGCTCACATTGAAGATCTGATGTTGCAAGCCAGGAAGATCAAGTACGACGTCATCGGACTGACCGAGACGAGGAGGCATCGCCCGCTACACGCCGTGTACGAGACTGGAGAAGAACTGTTCCTCGGAACATGCGACAGCAGAGGCGTTGGCGGTGTGGGCGTCCTCGTCAACACGCACTTGGCCATGAACATCGATTCGTACGAAAGTCTGACGACCCGAATCGGACGTTTGCGATTGAGAAGATGTGGTTCAACTCCAGCTTTGACATCTTCGTCGCCTACGCACCAACATCAAGCTACGACGAGGATGAGCTCGAAGCGTTCTATATGGAATTGGAGAAGTTCTACAAGGAAGATCATACCTTCTTCAAGGTCATCGTCGGTGATTTCAACGCTAAGATCGGACCAAGAAGAACGGCTGAAGAACTTCACATCGGAACTCACGGAACGGAGTGGAATGAGCAGGGTGAAAGGCTGTCTGAGTTTATCATGTCGACCCACACCATCCATGGTAACTCGCAGTTCCAGAAGCCCTACTCTCTACGCTGGACATGGGAGTCTCCTATGTCGGACAATTTCGATAACGAGATGAGACTTCACATCATTCTGGCAATCGAAGGTTTTGCCTGACCCGATGTCAGCTGGTGTCCCTAAGTTCTACACGGGATCCGACCATCGTCTCCTTCGCGCAAGATTCCGCTTTTCGATGCGAGGAGAGAGAGCCGCAAAGTTCAAGAAGCGAAGCCCCAAGACCACCATCAACTGGGATCACTTCACTTCTCTCGCTAGGCTCTGGGAGGATTCTGTCATTGACAACATCGACGAGGAATACGAACGGCTTGTTGCACATCTTCACGACTGCGCCAAGAAGTCAGAGGGTTCCAAGATTACCAAGAAGCGTCTATCTCTGGAAACTCTCGAGCTGATTCGCCAACGTGGAGCCGCACGAGCCGCAGGCAATTACCAGCTGACGTCTGAGCTTGCGAAGCTATGCAGAGAAGCGATAAAGGAAGACCTCAAGGAGAGAAGAGCAGCAGTACTGGTGGAAGCCGCAGAGGCTGGGAAGAGCGTACGCAACGCCCGCCGCGACTTCGCCAACTGTAAGACTAAGATGACCGCCCTCCGACGTCCGGATGGAACAATCACCGCATCCAGAAGGGCAATGGAGAAGGTCATCCACGACTTCTACTCGGATCTCTTTGACAGCCACGTCCACCTGCAACCGTACCGCTTGGAGCAGGATGGATATGTCGTTCCTGCAGTTCTCTCTTCCGAAGTCCGACACGCCATCTCGTCGGTGAAGAATCGTACGGCACCCGGTCCCGACAGGATCAGACCCGAACATCTGAAGAATCTTCCGCCAGTTCTCGTCAAAACTCTGGCTCGACTCTTCACGCGCTACCTGTCGCAATGCAAGGTACCCAACCTTCGTGAAAAAACGCACAGATCTGTGTGCGTATCAAGGAAGGGAGATCTGTACGACATTGGCAATTATCGCCCAATCTGCCTGCTGTCTGTAGTCTACAAACTCTTCACACGAGTCATCCTGAATAGGATTGGCAGAACACTAGACGAAGGACAGCCATGCGAGCAAGCAGGGTTTCGAAGAGGATTCAGCACGACCCTTCCGATCATTCATCCACGACGGTAACGAAGCCTCAATTGAAGTATTAGATCGCGTTATTGTCTCACGTTATCTGTGTTATTCGACTTGAAGAAAGCCTTCGACAGGGTGTATATTCTGTGCTCATGTCGCTGCATGAGATCTGGCTGGCGGGTGGTGCTCTGTGTCCAGGTCTGTATGGTCCTTCGAGTCCGTTGAGACAGAAGCGGTTATCGAAGCCCTGGGCAACCAGGGTATTCCTACTCAGTACATCAGGATTCTTCGTGAGCTCTACAGCAACTTCACGACCAAGATTTCACCATTCTACAAGGAGAATCTTCTTTGTATGTCAGAGAGGGGTCCGACAGGGCGACACCATCTCGCCCAAGCTCTTCAGCGCCTCTCTCGAGAACGTCATGCGTCAACTGGAATGGGAAGACATGGGAGTGAAGATCGACGGTCGGCAACTACACCATCTCCGCTTTGCTGACGACATCGTTTTGATAACGCCAAACATCGAGCAAGCGGAACGAATGCTGGCTGAATTCGACTGCGCGTGGAAGAAATCGGTCTACGGCTGAACCTAACGAAGACGATGTTCATGAGAAACGGATTGGTATCTGATGCCCCATTCACGCTCAACGGAACGACCATCTCTGAATGCTCTAGCTATGTGTACCTAGGTCGTGAAATCAATATGATGAATGACCTAGCTCCAGAGCTGAGCAGGAGGAAGCGAGCGGCTTGGGGAGCCTTCAAGAACATCGAGGGAGTAGCGAAGAAGACGAAGAACACCAAGCTCCGTGCCCACCTCTTCGATTCCGCGGTCCTTCCTGCCTTGACGTACGCCTCAGAGACTTGGACTCTACGAAAGCAGGATGAACATGCGGTCGGTGTTATTCAACGCGCCATCGAAAGGGCGATGCTCGGAGTTTCCCGCTACACGCAAGTGAGAGAGGGAATCCGGAGCTCCGCACTCCGCCAACGATCGAAGATCAGAGACGCCGCCGCATTTGCCAAGGCTTCGAAGATCAGGTGGGCTGGACACGTCATGCGTTTCGAGGACGACCGCTGGACCAGAGCTGTCACCGACTGGATTCCACGGGATGTCAAGCGAACGCCTGGAAGACCGCCTACGCGATGGTCAGACTTCTTCGTGAAAGCTCTGAACGAATGGTATGAAGTTCATCGTGTCCCTCGAGCTGAGAGAGTTCACTGGGCAACTCTTGCACGTTGCAGGGACGAATGGAGACGTTACTGGCGCCCGCTCGAGGAACTCGATGATCAACGGGAGCACAGGTGATACAGGTGATTTTCTGCTGCTCTCTCCGCTAATCAGTTACCTAGCACTTTTCCATTCTCAAGAGCTCCGACAATCTGCGGTCGCGGCTTTCTTGAAAGGCAGTTGGCACGATGATTTGGTGCTCGGCCTAAAATGCTAGTAGGGCGCTATATAGTGGGGAAATGGCGAAAGAACGGAGTGAAACGGTCAAAATCCTGCGAAGAAAGAGCCTCCGTTCTCAATGTGTTAGAAATCAATTTTGGACGAGTTTCCCGTAGGCATCTTGCCAATAACCGCTACCGAAGGTACGGCTGCATATGTGTACTCATATATCCATGCAGCATCACCGCTTCATACCAATCCCTTCGCTTCATAATTTGCTTAGCAAATGAATCGATTAGAGCGTCAGGAACGGTCGTCCATTTGTGGGCGGGCGGGCGTGGCGGGCGTTTGGGACGTAAAGTTGTGGCTTGAGGGCCCTTATAAGGGCACCTCCCTTGGAAAAGGCATTATGCAGCGCCTGCTCAGGGTCGCGGAATTCCGTCCTGCCAGGCGTATTAATCCTACTCGTCTTGGGAGATTTATCGTGTCAACTGCCTTTAACGAACGAGCAATGGCTTGGTTTCAGAGAAGTGCTTTGGCTAGAATCTCATGGCTCCATACGCATTACGCATATCCGTGAGTGATAAGAGTGGCGAATTCGTAATCACGCCGCTATCACTAGATCATGAAATAACGGAAGCTTCTAGGGTATTTTGAGAGATTCTGGAAAATTCTACCATCTACCGCCGCGTGAATGAAGAGCGCATTCTATTCTGACGCCAACCTCTCAAGCGTACGTGGTTTTGGACAGGAAGTGAGGCGGAGGTGGTGTAGTACCAGAGTGGTACGACTAGCACGCGCGCGGTCCGGGGGTCAGATCAAATCCCTGGTGGGCTCCCACCCAGAGCAACCAAGCCTTCTACCCTTTGGAAACGGCAAATCGGTAACGGATTCGTCAAAAGGGATAAGAACGCTGACTTTTACATCGGGCTGATCCCGCAAGTCAGCGTGTGGGCTAGATTGCTATTAAAACGATTCCGAGTTCTGCATTCAGTACTACGATTCTGTATGGAAGTGGAATGTGCCGCATTCAAAAAAGGGATTAATCAGAGGTGAAGACTCGATCCTTATTTTTCATATCGAGTGCAGTGTCAGGCATGAAGCTCCGCGTATATGGGACTCAAGGAGGGTTTTGGCAACGCGTTTCAACGAAAATCTTGCCAGCATGAGAGGCGGTGCTCTGACAACCGCACCTGAAGGAACAAGGTTGATGTAGCTGATCGGGATGAGTTCAAAACTAATGCATTAAGCTGGCGAGTGAGTGAGTGACATTCTTACAAATATAAGCGTTGGAAGCTTTTTGAATGTTCACTAGAAAGCACTGCATACAAAACCAAGAAACAGGAACCTGAATGTTTTTCAATCACAAGCAAACTTACTACCGTATGCCACACCATCTGAACGGATGGTGATACTCTAGTTCGCTGCGGATGAAGGGGTGTGTAAGGTAGTATGAGTGTACCACAGTGCCAAACCCGTTCCCTGCCAGTTGCTGGAGCGAGTTTCGGTAGAAAATGACTGACACTAACGTATCGTGCAGTATTGTCACTTGCTCGCTTCAACAACTGGTGGAGAACGGGTTTGGCACCGCGCCAAACTCATCCCGCCTGACACGCCCCTTCGTCCGCAGCGAACTAGACTGTATTTCTTTCACTAGAGCCCATGACTATTGCGAAATTAGAACTAGAGGAGCGATAGTGGTGCGACGATCCCAGGAAAGCTGCAAAGTTTTGTGCTCTACAGAATACTTATTTCCAAAAAAGAGCAGCGCTAAAGTAATGACGAATGAGAGTATAGGAAAGCCTGTAGGGCGAGTAAAATGAGACTAATGCAATGTTCAGGTGATTTGAGAACTTCTTTTCCAGATCGATCTCTACGTGCCAATCATGTCTATACTCCAGTTTATCTTCTTCGTGGGCTGGATGAAGGTTAGCCGTTATTTCTGAAGTGACATAAGTGACCCCTGAGATAACATTGTAATTGTAAATTGTATTTGTAATCATCAACCTCTACTGCCTTATTAGGTTGCTTGGTGAAGAACGACGATGATTTCGAATGCAATTACATTCTAGACCGTAATTTGCAGGTGAGGGAGAACAACGTGATTTTGTGCCTTACATTTGAATTGAGAAGCTTAATAGGCCTTTACAACGAAAGATGGTAAGTCAAAACGACAAAATGAAATGTAAGTGTACCATGCGATGTACCCTTGGATGTTGGTCCCAATCCGTTCTCAATATCTGCTGCTGATCCTCTCGAGCATAAGACACGATAATTCTGTACTCGTCCTGAAATAGTAGTGGGATGCTATATAGAGGGGAAAATGACGAAAAAGCGAAGTGAAACTATCAAAAACTTACAAAAAACGTTTGTTCTACAAGGCTGAGAAAACAAATTTGGACGAGTTACACGTTGTCATCGTGCCAATAACCGCTACGTAGATGCAGTTGCATGTGTCGTCCATCCATTCGTCCATGCAGCGCCGCAGCCACTTCATATCAACCACGTGGCTTCATATTGTACTTCGCAAATGAAGCGATACGAGCATCAGCATCGGTCGGACATTTGTAGGGCGGGCCCGCACAATGGGCATCGCTGGAAACGCTGGATCCTGTCACGGGGTTGATGTCTGAAGCGGCGCTGCAGGTCCCCACCTACTGCTGAAGCGGGCAAGCGACGACAACCGGCTGAATACGGGCTGACGCTCTCCAAACCCAGTTTCCGTGGCACGCCCCAGCGTCTGCAGCAAAAACGCCTATAAATCGTCGCATTGTTTAACGGCTGAATCACCTTAAGCTAGCATTCCCACCCCTTCCACATTGCTTCACATGTTCGACCCTTCGATGACTATTCCACAAGGATTATGTGCACTGGGTAGAAGCAGATCAAGAGTAAATGAAGTCTTTTACAACAGTGAAGATATAGGTATAAAGCTGCAAAAGGAATGCTTTGAGCTGATGAGTGGCTTCAAGGGCGACTGAGTGATGAGCACACCACCCTTGTATTTTCCTATTTTTGAAGAAATGCATAGCAAACTGATCAATCCGTATTTTTCTTAAGGGTACCTGGCTGCGAAGGTCTTTTTTTAGGTTGGACTCAACGTCGTCGATGAGGCGTACGACACTTACCCCGCATTGGTTCGCGATAGTTTCTGGGAAGACAGCTTGCCAGAACCACTGTACACGGCCGAGAGTGCTCAGCGGCCAATCAATCCACAAGTCGGCAGCTGCGTTGAATTGTATGTTTTGTCTGATTTGAACAATTCGCACTCTTAGCAGAGACAAGCACTTCACCAGCTTGAGGTGATTCGCTCGATTATCAGCTCCAGATTTCACGAGCTGACCACGCAGTAAAAGGTAACTAGTGAAGTGTACTTGAGGGGAGTATGCGTGGTTAGCTGAATATATGATCGTGTGTGTTGGTTACCTCCTACTGAAGCGAAATGCTGGTACGAGATGGCTTGTTGCCTTCCGTTTGACTTTCGGATTGCAGTCACAACAGCGAGTGCGGCTGTTGGCTTATAAGTGGTCTCAACAGCAGGGCGAAAGAGCGCGGCAACCGCCCCCGACCATCGCGGCCTCGGATTTGAGGACGCGTGCGGTGCACTTGGGCTCGATAACTCTCCACATTAGGCATAACATAGGTGAGGCGATTGCAAACCAAGCACCTCATTGTGGGAGTCCCGCGAACAGGGGGTCGTATGCTGGCCGGCTAACGAGAGGGAAGGGGTCGACTATTTGGGCTGAGAAAAATTATATTTCGATGTGGATTTTTCTAGCTTCATGGACGTTGTAAAGGGGGGGGGTCGTACTTGCTCATTGTTGAGAGGGGAGGGTGGTACTTGCTAATTGTTGGGAGGGGGGGGGGTCGTATTATTTACTTTCTGGCCTTTCTAGGAATGATGGGAGTGTGGTTGACTTTTCGTGATTTTCCTGTTTCATATGTGCTATACACGAGATCCCTGAGATCGAGTACGCGGGGCTGCATTTTGCAACTTAACCTGAAGGTGTCTATGCTTCTGGTGGAATATTTACATCTTGACACAACTGTTGTCGTGTCTCTGTCCATCATAGAATAAGATGACAGTTGTCTCAGACTGGAATACTCCACGAGTAACAAGTTCCGTGCCATGTCCAAATGCCACGCCTACTCTGACTCAGGGATAAGGAGTGTATTTACTCGTGTCCCCCTCGCCCCGCTCAACCGGCTTTCGATTCGACTGAGAAAGGGACAGAGCGCCGGGGGGGGGGTCGTTCGTCTAAAATCCCCAATCAATGATGTGCCCTGCACCTTTCCCTTGATAATACCTCCATAGCGGTTGCTAGCGAATTTTTCTTAATATTGGATGAGACGAACAAATGATAACCATTGAGCGATCTATATTGGGGCATTTCTGCCAAATCGGCGATAATTCTCGGGACGGTCCGGTTTTTCCAAGTCTGATGAGATTGCTCCGTTTTTCAACATGTTAGTGCTGCATTCTTGGATAGCGGGTATTTTTATGAGGTTCGCGATAGAAAGTGAGTGGCTTTCAGAGCCTCTTAGCTTTGAAAGCATATCATTTCTTATTTTTATTGGGTAGAAGGAAAGAATTTCCAGAATATGGTGTGTATGCAAGGAAGGAATTTCTGGAGGGATAGATGTGGTTCTCATGTCTCTCCAGCTTGAAGAGAGGTTGAAAGAGAAAATGATGTCAATCAAAGAGAAAATGATGTATTCAAACCGGTTTATTACAGGACTACCCACGAGGATCCTTTTATGATTCATCCTCGACGGCGAACATTCTCGCGAGCATCCCACTGGGATGGCGAGTTAGAAGACGATGACAAAGTGCCAGTAGTCGGTGCTGACCAACCCAAAGACAACAGGTGACTTTTCTTCTGAACATGTATTTTTTTGGCGTCAGATACACCCTGATTTGACTGGACTTCTTACGTATATAAGTTTGATGATGTCGAATGGTAACTGATGAACCATGGGAACCTAGGACAAAAATCAGCTTTACCCCTCTATGAGTGAGGTTTATATACCATGTCCAATTCACCTTTTTCTAAAGTTCACTACTTCTTGAATAAAAACACCATTTTTTTCTAAAGGAAAATCACCACTTCTTGAACAAAATCCACCTTTTTTGATAGGCAAAAGGCTTTTTTGACTTCTGACAACGAGACTGTGCAGTTGACCAATCCGATCGAGCAAGACACCACCTCGACGGCGAGCAGGCAAATCGTTACGTATCTATCCTTCTCATTCGATCCAACAGTTAGGGCCAGAAGAGGAGGGGGGGGGTCGTACAGGGATCTCGTTTCGCGGGGCGGGGGTCGTACTGACACTACCATTTCACATATCACGATGCTATACGCTGATCACATACCCTCAGTCATATGCTTAAAATGCTCCTTCAGTCAGACTTTTCAAAATATAACAATTAGTTTCAACTTGTAAGGAGAAATTGTTCCTTTATTCTAAAAAAGACAGAAGGAAAGAGCATTTCAGCATATGACTGATAGCATGTTTGCAGAGAAAAGCAGTAAACGTTGGAATGATCGAAGTACTGAGGACGGTGTGACCATGAGTCTTTTCATAGTTACACCGTCAGATGTTCTCCTTTCAGAACCCATTGTTTTGATAATAACAACTGGTTTCGAATTACTCTGTATTACTAATTACTTTTGCACGCGCGAATTTGCCTGATGGCGGACTTGTCCACCAGACTTTAGGGTGCCTTCGTAATGTGAAACTGGGTGTAACAACAACATCTGAAAAACATACAGAAATTCGAAATTTGCACCGAATTCTTCGAATTGGGCGAGCCGCCTATGTTTCAGTGTATCAGTACTTCTCAATTTTGTGCATGTGCAAAACAGCAAAAGTAATGTTGTCATAGAAGAAGTCACAAAATAAATTTTGAAAATTCATCACTGCGCTGAAAAGTATTAGGTTGTCCGGAAAGTTCTGCAGGTTTTGTGTTACTATTTTTTTGCACATTCATTGCTGAAAAACTCATTCCCTTGCGTCTCAGTAGTACATCCTGAAGAGAATTCTTTGCGCTATCTGATGGTATAACTGCCGTTTCACCATTGCTTGATGAACCCCTTTTTTAAGATTTTTTTCAAGCATGTGAAAAGAGCACTTCGGACGATTTTTTTCTTCGACTATAAATTGGGGCAATCCGCAATCGAAACAGCTCAACAAATTAACCAGGTGTGGGGGCCCAATAGTGCTAGAGAAAGCACTGTGCGGCAATGGTTCAACAAATTTCGTTCTGGAGATTTCAGCCTTGAAGGTGAACCTCATAGCGGTCGACCTAAAGCAATATCTGACGAGGATTTTAGGGGGATTTTGGAGGCTGACCCATCCAAACAGTTCGAGAGATTGCAGAAAAGCTAGGCGTTGGCAAATCCACTGTTGCAGATGGTCTGGAACGCATTGGGAAGGTGAAAAAACTCGACAATTGGGTGCCCCACAATCGGAGTTGACGCGCAGGATAGCACTTCTCGAGGTCTTCTGCTTGCTTTGCGCAGCAGAAACGACCTGTTTTTGGACCGAATTGTCACCTGTGATGAAAAATGGGTCATGTATGATAACAGGAGACGTTCCGGACAGTGGTTGGATTTCGACGAACCACCGAGGTAATTTTCAAAGCCGAACCCTCACGAAAAAAGATTCTGGTCACGGCTTGGTGGTCATCGGCTGGTGTGATCCACTATAACTTTTTATCACCAGGCTAAACCATCACAGCAGAACCCTACTGTGAAGGAATCGACGAAATGTACCGAAAATTTTGTCAGCTGCAGCCAACACTTATCAAAAGAAAGGGTCCGATTCTTTTGCATGACAACGCCCGCCCACATGTTTCACAAATCACTATCCATAAATTGAACGAATTGGGGGTTGAAGTTCTACCTCAACCGCCATATTCTTCAGACCTTTCGCCAACCGACTATCACCTTTTCTAACATTTTCAGAACTCCCTTGCTGGAAAATACTTCATCAATCAGGACCAGGCAAAAAAGCCTTAGTGGATTTCGTGAATTTTCGACCACCCAGTTTTTTTTACTTTGATGGGATTTCTCGACTGCTGTCACATTGGCAAAAGTGTGCTGATTCGAATGGTGCTTATTTGGATTAAATCCGATGAGTTAAGAAAGTTATGATCGTTTAAAGTGAAACACTCGAAACCTGCAGAACTTTCCGGACAACCTAATACATACTCGTGGCCATGGGGCGGCTTGTGTGGTGTGCTACCGCGCGTCTGACTAAGTGAAATTGCCCGGTCCTTTGAAATTATGCTAGATATTTTTTCGTGGAATAAAGGTTGGATTTGGCTTCTGAAAAGGAGGTGATCTTGGTGGTTGAGAGCTGATGAATTCCATGTCAAATTGTATATATCATACGCGGTAGTGAACTGAGGTTATGGCTGAAAACGACTGGTGAACAAGGTAATTATTTACTAACTCTGCTCCTTGTGTAATTCCACAGTGTCGGGGAGTTTCCATCATAAATGGCCCAATAAATTTCAAGTTTCATGCAACTAATTTCAGTTCCTGCAACGGTGATTCTAATTCGTATATGGGTCAAAGCAGAAGAATATCGGGGATTTTCAAACGACTGCAAGGCGGCCATCGTTTCAGTAGGTTTTTCATAGTTTTCATTTGAAATCCGAAAAGGAGATAATCAGACGGAGACAGAGATAATCAAGATTAAATCCAATTAGGTCAAAGACAGCCCCCGCGCTTAAGTAGTACATGGTCGTCCTTCCTTGTGCAAGTAGCCCGGCCCCAAGCTAGAGACTATCCCACTCTCGAGACTCCTCAGTGAGCGAGAGCGAGCTAACAGCCGCTCACAGTCTCTAGTGTCTAACGTCCGATGGTAGGCGCCACTGTATTGCCCCCCCTCCCCCCCCCCTCCCTTTAGTTGCCTCCCTTGACGAGGGCGCTCAGTTGTTTTTTGTTGAGGTGGACGGGCGGGCATTAATCGGAATTGCATGTACTTTTTGCTGACCGCGCTCGTGCCATAAATAACTGTGTTCTCCTTTATTACACTTATTCATTGTGAGCACATACTGTCAACTGCAATCCATTTCGCAAGGTAAAACGCGTAAAACATCACGAGTGATACAATTTTTGAGGTGCAAAAGCTCGACATGCAGTACTGGGAAGCGTTATCCTCGCGATTAGGTTCAAGATACACGAGACATTCGTAGGAGCGAGAACATCATTTGGTTTGTAGGGAATGGTACAATCGGGAGCTGTGAAACCCTGGAACAAACTCTGGAATCTCAGAAGTTCCTACAACAGACACTTTTTTATCCACATTGTTAACCACGAACATTGGGGAGAACAGGACTCCATACATTAGGCCGTGCTCTGCTTGTGTGGTCCTCACCGGACCAGTGCTCTACTATCTTCGGAAAAAATGACGCCGTTATGATCAGCATCACTTGAAGAACACAACTACCCAATTCATAATCATTTCATACGCGACACAGGGCGTCATTTTATCTTTGGATGGCTGGACTTTCATTGATTGCCCTCTGGTTACAACTATAGCGAGACTTGCTTCACTGAGGCAGCGTTCAGACTTGCGACGGCACGCTTCCGTTCGCGCGTTCGAGCGATTCGATGTGCAGTCGAAAGCATGCGCATCGATCGCGCCGAACGCACCACGAGGCGCTGCCGTCGCGAAGTCTGAACGCTGCCTGACGAGTGTCCTCAGGTACTTCGATGTGAAGCGGAGTTCAATATTGGACTTTTTCAGTTTTTCAGAACATCACGTTATAGAACTTGACGAGCTGAGTCTTACAGTGTAAGTTTCTATATAAGAAAAGATAACAGAAACTAAGATATAGCAAAAGAAAACGAAAAGACGCGGCTCGGGTTTTTTTTCGCTTTTTTCGAATAATTAGGGTGGCCATCTGTAGTTGTTACCTCTGTCTCCTAATGGGCTTGAGGTCACCCTGTTTTCCTCGAAGGCTAGACTGTAAAGAAGCAATGAACTCGAAGTTTTTAAAACCTGAATTTTCACCTGAACTTTCATATGAAACCCTATCATTTGTGATGCCAAAATGATCACGGAATCATGCTGTTTCCAAAGATGCTGGTATTTCTGACTTTGAAACACTTTGATCCAAGACATGGTCCAACTGGAGGGTTTAAGACATGGTCATATCCGCAGGTAACACCTTAGGTAACTGGAGACTCAATCGTGGTTTTCCCTTGGAATCAGTTAGAAATAGTAGGAAAATGTAGAAAATTTGTACACAGCTAGATTTATAATGAGCACGACTACCAACTGGTCTAATTTTCAGATGATTTCGACCACTTCTGCGGAAGTTATGGCAATGCGACGGTGTCGATTTTGCAAAAATTAGGGGCGCCATTGTAGTTGCTTTCCAATTATGAAACAGGAGCTGAAAAGTAATTCACCAAAGAACAAAAAAGCAAGAAGAGTCCTCAAGAACACCATAAACAAAATCGCTCCCGGACAGTCACATCCTCTTGCAGTCTCTATGCAACCCCTGGCTTACAAATTCCTTTATCACATCTCCCAGTAGTGGATATCACCCGTTTTGGCAAAAAAAAAACGAAAAACAGCTAAAACACGGAAGAAAGGGAAAAGAAACTCTCAAAAACTCGGTGTCCGGATTTAGAGGTTACGGTACCGTGCATCTTTCAGTGGATGTAGTGCAGTGCGTCCAGCTTTTGCACCACGAAAATTGGTCGCTCGTGATTTTTACGCGTTTTACCTTGCGAGATGGGTTGGAGTTGACTGTATGTGCTCCTAATGAAAAATGTAATAAAGGAGAGCAGAATTATTCATGGGCACGAGCGCGGTCAGCAAAAAGGACATGCAATTCCGATTAATGCCCGCCGCCCCAACAAAGAACAACTGAGCGGCCCTCCGTCGGAGGGCATCTAGCAAGTGGGCGGTCCAACTGGGCGGGCGTCAGAACTAGAATTTTCAGCAGCTGTAGCTCGCTCAATGTGGAGTCGCGAGAGTGGGACAGTCTCTAGCTTGGGGGCTGTACTACTTGCACAAGGAAGGACGACCATGTACTACTTGAGCGCGGGGGCTGTCTTGAAAAACACTTATTCTCCTGTCGTATGCAACGCGCTTTGCTTGACGTATGTACTTCAGACCTTTTCCCATGGATCTCAGGATTTTAAGTGCATAATTTTCAAAAAGCTAGCGACCCTAGAATTCTAGGGCTCCGTCTTCAACAGTGTCTGAAAAATTATATAAAAATGGACCCGCATGCATACTAGTGCGTCATACGCATGTTCAGGAGGTTTTGCATTGTCGAGCTATACATCTTAGTGGAATTTTTTATTTTATTCTTTTATTCAGGTGTTTCTAATTCCTTCCGGCCACCATGGAAAACACAGGCAGTTTCCGATATCAACACTGAACGCCAAAGCAAAACAGATGTCAAGTCAAAGTCGACAATCAGTTCACTGTTTTCCCTTGTATCCAACTCATCGAAATCATTTTTTTTTCAGCCGTAGCAGCTTGTCGTCCTTGGATCGCTTCGATGAAAGTTTCCATAATAAAGTTAGTCCACCAGGCTTGTATCCACCGAATGGCATGAGCAAATTCAGTAGATCAGTTCCTGATGGGCTGAAAATGGCTGACGATGAAATAGGACCAAAATCAGTGAGTTCAGCCGGATTTTGTCCTTTTCTCACGAAAGTGTAGCGAAGCGCTCGGTAGTAGATTCATAGGCACGGCAGTATTACAGTATTTGACTTGAACTGCACGAGTCTAGGCAATGGATGGCTTCTAGTGCTAGCCACTCCGCCTCCGTTGCAGCAGCTCGAAGTATTATGATAAAAGCGGCATCATTCGGGAGAGGTAGAGTAGAAGAACATCCGAGGCAAAGCGCGAGGGAGTAAATGTGCTGATTCAGCGCATGGACTCAACACTGCTCGCGTCCAGCATGCTGAGACCACGACAGCAGTCTTTTGACCAAAAAGCATGGATGTTTGGGAGTCGGAGTGGGTAGAGGTTCGATTCAGGGCCCCTGCCGTGGACAGTAATTATAAGTTATTGACGTTCTGACCGGAAGGGGAGGCCAATAGTGATTTTTTTTCTAAGCCTCCCATGACTTAGTCTATAGTTAGTCTATGTGAGTTGAGAGTGCTTCTTAGGTTAGAGTATCTCTTACCTCATCAAAAGCCCACCCCCATGTAAATCTCCGGGCCAATCGCTAATTCTTTCTGCTTACTCTCTTTGATTCCCTTTCAATTCGTTTATGATGAAATTTGGAACGTACATAGCTATTTCAGCCAAAGTCTCCGAACCCTGGAGGTGTGGCATGGTTTGTAGACGAGCTGGCCGTGATTGAAGAAGAAGCTCCTGAAAAACGACGCACATTTGACGAAGGTAGGTGGATACTGCAACTAGTGTCGGGGCCAAAAGTGTCGCTCAGATGAGTGGAAACTGCCCTCCGGAATCACCCACGGCAGATGTTAATTACGTTAGGGAAGGTATTTGATTGTGCTATCACGTCTGTCACCTATTGTGGAATCAAAGGCCACTTCTGATCCCATTTGCATAGGTAGCTGGAAATGACGTGTGAGGCGTTTCAGATTCAATGAGGAGCAGTCGAAGTGGCAGCAGTTCAAGAACGGAACAACGTACTCGAGAGCACTCACTGGTTATGCCTGCAGTCCCGGAAAAAGAAGAGAAAAGTGAATTGAAGCTAGAAGATCGAGAGAAAACGACATAAAATGACTACAAATAACGCGAGCTTCTGCTCATATTTTCATAATCCGTTCGGGTTTTATGTACTTCACTTTTGTTATGCTGTCTAAGAAGTCGAACTGCTCACAACTCCTTTAAGGTATCATACTATGTGCTGTCGAATATGCGAAATAGGGCTTCTTACGGCTATGAGCTGTTACTGTTGTAATAAAAATATGTACTTACATTTGCTCGACCTTTATGGGAGCGTTCTTCACCTTTTGCCTTCCATTTTATCGCAATCTCTAATTCATAGCAGTATTTGGGCCACTTGAAATAACCGTATGGCTGGATTAGAGCATCACAGTAGTTAGCAGCTTTTTTGACACTATTTTCTCTATATTTTATTTCTACGAGACGATGTCGCCAAGTGGAATCTTTTATTTGGCAGCAACACCTCGCCATATTTGAGGGTTCGGAAGACCTGACCTTTCGGGAGTCGTGCCAGTCTCCCGAAGGGTTGAGGCACCTTTGACTCGCAAGCGGTATATCTCACCCAGGTAACGGTAAAAATGCCTAATAAGTTTACTCTAGTGCTCTATTATTGCTCTACCTCTAGGTTTATAAATCATAGCATTTAGTAACTGCTATGGAGCAAAACAACTTGTTGAATATACAACTCAGAAAATTTCGCATTTTCCTGACAAAAAATATTCTCGAAAGACTCTACGGCACTGTATAAGTGAGCTGGTCATGAAACCGCTGATATACAGGGGGGCCAAAAAAAAGTCATTTTGCCTCCATGACTTTCAAGGCGCTATAAGTTACACTTTATTAAATTTTTATCGGACATTTTTACTACCATATTAAAGAGCACATTAAATACTATATTGATACTCCGCCACAGCCTTCTGGAGGAGCGCCATCGAGAGATTCGGCCGCGCGAAAGTGAGTGGGTACTGGAGTTGAGCGAGATCGTTGATTTCTCCGCCACTGTAGACCACCCTGTGAGCTCCGCCCGAACCGAGTAATTGAGGGGGTTTAGTTCAGGACCCCCGCTTAAATACTCCATCTTTTCCAGGTACTCAACGTCTTCCATTCCAAGTAGGCGAAAGTTTTTCCAACGCCCTTCGATTTCATGTGGTGGCACTCGATGCTGTAGCAGTACAAAGTTCCACAGAAGGTACCGGGGGCCAACCCCAAAGACCACATGTGAGCTGGATATTCTTCACGAGTTGCCCAATGTAACCGCCAGCGCTCACCTTTAGTCCGTGGTCCACGAAGAAAATATCGGTTAATTCATTCCAGGTACGTCCGGTCCCCCACCATCAACTGGCGCCTTGGCGACTGAGGTGAAGATGATGTCCTGGACCGTAGCGACGTTGACGAAGCTGCTCGATGTGGGAGGTCTTGCAGATCAAGAGTACTGACCTCCAGGTAGCTATCTGTGGATGACTTCATTCAAGAAGTTTCGCAGCTGTTTGGAGGCGACGTGAATTCCAAAGGTGTTCTCCAGTCAGGCCGCGACTGGAGATGACTTCATATTTTGGCGTACATGAAGGCGATTGGCGGCAGCCTGCTCCAGCTTATAGAGGAAGATCTTGGGTATCTTCCACTCTGGTACTCATATCCACTTCCCCTGTCTGGGCTGCGAAAACTTCGTTGATATGTGGCTCGGCCGAAATGACTTTTTTTTTTGGCCCCCCCTGTATACTTCATAGATCAACCGTTTATATTGAGAAGTAGGCCCTGGAATCACTCTTATGATATCGTACCGCGAGAATTTAGTATAGCCGGATGACCGCACCGGGGGACTTGCTACGCTTTCGCTTGAAATAGGATTCCATCGTTTTTAGTCGCGCTTCTTGTCAGTACGATTAGAAGGGCTACAATTCTCACTTGAGCGTATCATATATACCGTTTTCACTTTAAATTCACTCTTTTTCAAACCAATTTCACCCCTTTTCAAACCAAATTCACCCTCACTTTTCACATCAAATTAACCAAACTTATAAGGGCGGGCATCATCAAGCAGATCACGCCAGACATCACTGCGAGCCCCGCCCCGACGGCCACGCCCACTTGTCAGCGCGGACATAGATTCTCAAATCTTGTTTCATAACTTCTGCTTTTGCTGTTTCCCACAAACACTTTGACTGGAAACGACCGGGCATTGACACATGCGACTGCGCCCATTTTCTAATGGCAATCTAGGCTGACCGCGCCCACTTGCTTTTCGCGGACTTTCGATATTTTCTCAAAATTTTTTACTCGGGTGGCATTTCCGGACTCCTCCTGCGCTTCCCCAGACGCCTAACCATAGCCAAACGCGCTGCTTGCGTGCGCCTCTTACTTCCGGTTGTGCACCGCTGACGACCTCTCTGCGGGATTCTGGTATCGACGCAAGTACCACGCATTGGGAATTGTTTAGGGCTGCTGCGTGAAGCCCCGCCCATTGTGAGAGGCTCCGCCCACTTTGAAGAAGCCCCGCCCACTTTTCAAAAATGGTGCAGATCGGCAGTATAGAGACTTGGCTTGCATGCTAGGGTCTCGTTCGTCACTCGGAACAAGAAAATCCGGCAAAGTTTATTCCGAATGATCAGCAATACCCTAGCATGCAAGCCAAGTCTCTATACTGCCGATCTGCACCATTTTTGAAAAGTGGGCGGGGCTTCTTCAAAGTGGGCGGAGCCTCTCACAGTGGGCGGGGCTTCACGCAGCAGCCCTAAAATGCAAAAATTTTGAAAAATATCGAAAGTCCGCGAAAAGCAAGTGGGCGTGGTCAGCCTAGATTGCCAAACCTTTAGAAATGGGCGGAGTCGGCCATGTGTCAATGCCCGGTCGTTTCCAGTCAGAGTGTTTGTGGGAAACAGCAAAAGCAGAAGTTATGAAACAAGATTTGAGAATCTATGTCCGCGCTGACAAGTGGGCGTGGCCGTCGGGGCGGGGCTCGCAGTGATGTCTGGCGTGATCTGCTTGATGATGCCCGCCCTTATAAGTGTGGTTAATTTGATGTGAAAAGTGAGGGTGAATTTGGTTTGAAAAGGGTGAATTTGGTTTGAAAAAGGGTGAATTTGGTTTGAAAAAGGGTGAATTTAAAGTGAAAATGGTATATATTAGGTTGTCCGGAAAGTTTTCAGCGTTTCGAGTGTTTCACTTTAAACGATCATAACTTCCTTAATACTCATCGGATTCAATCGAAATAAGCACCATTCGAATCAGCACACTTTTGCCAATGTGACGACAGTCGACAAATCCCATCAAAGAAAAAAACTGGGTGGTCGAGAATCCACGAATCCCGAAGGCTTTTTTGCCTGGTCCTGATTGATGAAGTATTTTCCAGCAAGGAAGTTCTGAAAATGTTTGAAAAGGTGATAGTCGGTTGGTGAAAGGTCTGGAGAATATGGCGGGTGAGGTAGAACTTCCCAATTCGTTCAATTTATGGATAGTGATTTGTGAAACGTGTGGGCGGGCGTTGTCATGCAAAAGAATCGGACCCTTTCTGTTGACAAGTGCTGGCTGCAGCTGACGCAATTTTCGGTACATTTCGTCGATTTCTTCACAGTAGGACTCTGCTGTGATGGTTTGGCCTGGTGACAAAAAGTTATAGTGGATCACACCAGCCGATGACCACCACACTGTGACCATAACCTCTTGATGTATACTTCATAGATACAATCCAGCTTTATATTGAAAGTAGGGCCCCTCGGAGAATCACTCTATCGATCATCGTACCGATAACGAGAATTGAGTAAGCCGGATGACCGCAGCGGGGGACTCGCTACGCTTTCGCTTGAAATAGGATTCCATCGTTTTTAGTCGCGCTTCTTGTCAGTACGATTAGAAGGGCTACAATTCTCACTTGAGCGTATCATATATACCGTTTTCACTTTAAATTCACTCTTTTTCAAACCAATTTCACCCCTTTTCAAACCAAATTCACCCTCACTTTTCACATCAAATTAACCACACTTATAAGGGCGGGCATCATCAAGCAGATCACGCCAGACATCACTGCGAGCCCCGCCCGACGGCCACGCCCACTTGTCAGCGCGGACATAGATTCTCAAATCTTGTTTCATAACTTCTGCTTTTGCTGTTTCCCACAAACACTTTGACTGGAAACGACCGGGCATGACACATGCGACTGCGCCCATTTTCTAATGGCAATCTAGGCTGACCGCGCCCACTTGCTTTTCGCGGACTTTCGATATTTTCTGTTCTCTTCTCAAAAAATTTATTTACTCGGTGCATTTCCGGAACTCCTCCTGGCCTTCCCCAGACCTACCACAGCCAAACGCGCTGCTTGCGTGCGCCTCTTACTTCCGGTTGTGCACCGCTGTGACGACCTCTCTGAGGGATTCTGGTATCGACGCAAGTACCACGCATTGGGAATTGTTTAGGGCTGCTGGGGCTGCTGCGTGAAGTTCCCCGCCCATCATGAGAGGCTCCGCCTACCTTGAAGAAGCCCCCCCCCCATTGCCACTTTTTAAAAATGGTGCAAACCGGCAGTATAATGACTTGGCTTGCATGCTACGGTCTCTTTCGTCACTCGGAACAAGAAAATCCGGCAAAGATTATTCCGAATGATCAGCAATACCCTAGCATGCAAGCCAAGTCTCTATACTGCCGATCTGCACCATTTTTGAAAAGTGGGCGGGGCTTCTTCAAAGTGGGCGGAGCCTCTCATGATGGGCGGGGCTTCACGCAGCAGCCCTAAAATGCAAAAATTTTGAGAAAATATCGAAAGTCCGCGAAAAGCAAGTGGGCGTGGTCAGCCTAGATTGCCAAACCCTTCAGAAAATGGGCGGAGTCGGTCATGTGTTCAATGCCCGCTCGTTTCCAAGTCAGAGTATTTGGTGGGAAACAGCACAAATAGAAGTTAAATGAAAGCAAATTCGAAAATCATGTCCGGACGCTGACAATGTGGTGCGCGGTCGGTCGGGACGGGGCTCGCAGTGATGTCTGGCGTGATCTGCTTGATGATGCCCGTCCCTCATAAGTGTGGTTAATTTGATGTGAAAAATGAGGGTGAATTTGGTTTGA